CCTCGGCCTCCCACCCCCTACTTCTCTCTCCTCCCTCCTCCTCGTCCCTCCTCCCTCCATCTCTCCTCACTGATAATGTAGTTTATTTGCTGTTTTTAGTAAGTGCTTAATTTAGTTTGTTTAGTAAGTACTTAATAGAAGTAGTTTATTTAGTAAGTGCTTAATTTAGCTATGTTAGATTTATATACAAAATAATTTAGGGTTTCGCTAAGGTATTTTTAGTAAATGTTAGGGCTAGAACTAGGATATTTTAGACATAGTTTGTTAGGGCTAGAACTAGAAAATTTTAGTAATAGAAAACTAGGGAATATTTTTTGAATATAAAATAGCTTTTTGAATAGGATAGAAACTAGTGAATAGGTATAGATTTTTTTTGTAATTTTGTTTTTCAATATAGTAATGTATTGGAAAATTTAATTATTTTTATGTCATTATCACTTTATCATCAAAGAATGCTATATGAGATTTGATGATCTAAAATTCTCTCGGTGGAATATGCAGGCTTTGTAGAGTCGTGTCTCCTTGGAGTGATCGTCATCGGGGCTACCTGTAGCTACTTCCTCTACACCCGAGTCGGTGAGCTAAAAGTCCATCTCCTCCTTCTCTACTCCTGGTGTGTTCGGTAGAGTAGAACTATGGTATTGAGTTGGTGAGCTCATGTGTGAATGCTTATGATAATTGATCCAGATGGAATTGCAAGTTAAGCATCGTCATATGTGTATGGACATCTTTGTACACAGGGAAAATCCGAGTGACCTATGTTTTTCCTGAGTGTTGATTCATTTCCGTTCCGGCAAATTTTAGGCTCTCGATATGTCCTATTTTAGCAAAGGTCATGCCAGATTTTTCTGTGAATTTAAGCATGACTTGTGCCCGGATTTGCTAGAAAGAGAATTAAGCGACATTTTGAGTTGGCTTTAAGTTTGTCGGGGCTCCATACTTGTGCTAGAAGAAGAATGCCGACTATTGTTGTAGGCGTCGCTTCTCCTTCTTCTCTTTGTGCTAGACCTTTGTTATGCACTAGGGGAAGAAGGAGTAGCGACCATCATCGACGGTCGAAAAATAGGTGAGGGAGTGTCCACCATATATGAGAGAAGAAGAATGCCGACTGTTGTCATGGGGGTCACTTCTCCTTCTTTTCCTTGTGCTAGATATTTGTAACGCACTAGGGAAAGGAGGAGTAGCGACCATCACCGACGGTCGCAATATCAGAGAGGGAGTGCCCACCATATACGTGAGATGAGAGTTTAGGAAGGAAGACTCGAGAGACCTGAAGTCAACTCGTTGCATATTGAGTAATAGTGATCTGTGTGTTGAGTTTCCTGGTAGTTGCCTTTGGTTGATTTTTAATTAATGTTTCAACTATGAACATAGGAAATGTCAGACAACGAAAAGGAATTCGGTATGTGCGGGTACTGCAAAGACGAGCACAACCTTTGCGACATGCCTCACCTAGTTGGTGGTAGGCTCTTCAGCATCAAGCTGGATGACACCTTCGAAGTGGATACATTAAGTCACAACGACAAGTCTTTTTTCGTAATTAAGCATGACTTCTGCTTCTTTTGGTTCAACTTATAATTTTAATTTTTTAATATACTACTCGCGTATCCCCTGCCATGCAAGAATGTATGTCTTGGATAAGGTTGGTTTCAGTACTATGGAAACTATGGAGGTAAAAAGAGTTAACTTGAGGACCGAGCATGGTTATACTTTTGACGCAAAATTATACAATTCAGACACCTACACCCATTTTGAATGCAAAAAATGGAGAGCACTATGCAAGGCTTATGCATTTGAGCTTGATATGATTATCACCTTTGATATTCGTCCGGAAGATGATATTGAAGGTAATATCGACATCTGGGTCGATGTGCAGACGCCTCCTGTTCTACCATTATGTGAGTTTCTCAACCATATTTATGTATTGGATATTGTTTATTCAAAAATAGTTGACAATTAATTTCTATTGACAACTTATTTCCATTCAAGCAAACATGTCCGGCGTTTGGTAGACATGACCTACTACTATCCCGGGGCTGAACTAAACCGCGAGGAGATAAGTCACTATGTTTCATGGCTTGAGGATCTTCATACTGTCAAGATAAATTATTTTCCTGAACTTGAAAATCTTAGTACTCAAAACGTGCGACCAATAGTGTTCGTACTGAACTATGGTCACATCTATTTACGAAAGATGGTAAGATTTTTACTATTTATCCTTAGTGCATCTTTTGCATACATTATTATTTTTAGCTAAACTTCATTGCTAAGTATGTTACTTCGATGTTCTTCAACAGAGACCCCCGATGATAGTTGTGCCTCAATGGATCGAGGCTAAAGGTCGCATGTCCATGGTTAGCTTACGGCCAAGACATCCTACATTGCACATGAGTGCATTCAGGATTTCTAAAAGCGAGCAAGTCTTAATAGTCAAAGACTGGAGCAAAATTGTGAATAATCGCAGAGAAGTACTAGGGGACAACAATCAAAAGCGCAGCCCACAATTAGGAGACATGTTCATCTGCATGCTCCAATATGATGAATCAGGAGTGCTGCACATGTTCTATGCTATTTTACCCGAGAGAGAGCAGCATGAGTGATTAGCTAGCTAGAATAAGTGTTGGTGGTGATGACTATGATGATTATTATTAGCTAGTGTTGGTGGTGATTAGATAGTTACACTATGACTATGATGATTAAATAGTGTTGGTGGTAATAACTATGATGATCATTAGCTAGTGTTGGTGACGATATGATGCAAGTGTTTTTATATTAATATGATGATGATGATGATGAGAATGATGATGATGATGAGTTATTATATCATTGGGTGAAAGAACCGTGGATTAGTTTCAAGTGGATGGATCCTAAGTGATCAAGTCATGGATTATCACGATAATCCATGACTTGGTCACTTAGGATCCATCCATTTGAAATTAATCCGCGGTTCTTTCACCTAGTGATTTAATAACTCATTATAATGTAAAAACAATCTCTAAATTGCTACTGTATGAAAACTTGTATAAAGGTGTATGAATACGACCTAAAATTAAAAAGAAATAGAATACTGAATAATAGTAGTAGCGCGGGCAGTGAGAAGCGCTACTAGTAATTACCAGTAGCGGCTGTATGACCTTGTCAACGCCTACATGGCCCTGGATGGGATGGACGCGCTCAACTCCTCCAAGGACCGCCACGACGACCGTGACAGTCACAGCCGTGCCAGTGGCACCCGCGCTGCCCGCGCGACTAAGAGCAGCGAGAATGAAGGCGAGAGCCAATCGACCTCAGTGGAGAGGAAGGACGAAGCCAAATCTCGGCATTGTCGGAGCTTGTCCATGGACAACTTCATGGGTAAGCTCACCTATGCCACATGTGACGATTCACCAAAGCTACCATTGCCGTCCCCCTGCGGCGACCTTTCTATCACTAGTGTAGAATCGGGCTTTAGTCCCGATTCGTAAGGACATTTAGTCCCGGTTCTACAACCGTCACTAAAGGGTGGGGACTAAAGCCCCCCCTTAGTCCCGGTTCAACACGGCCCGATACCAAAGGCCCACCACGTGACACGAGCCCGCATCGGGGGACCTAATCAAGACTAAACGAAATTATTGATTTTTTTTTGAAAAAAATTGATTTTTTCCGATTTAATCTCTAATCACCACTCATCACTGCTCAAGTGTGGAGCACTCATTCCAATCGTCTAACTTCCGATCACCCATCCTTTCACTACTTCAGCCTGAGCACGCTTAACTTTCGAGTTCTATTCCCCCTTGTTTCCAAGTCTGCACTTGTTGTTTTCCTAACAATAGTAAGCAATCAATCATATTAACCCTTAGGAGTTTAGCTTGAGCATGAAGTCACACGTTTCATCGTTTGAGTTTGAAACTATTATTCTAGAAAACAATAATTATTTAATAACACTAATATTTCTTGAATAAGTAGTTTGGCGATAGTTTGACCAGAATTTGACCAGATTTGACCAAAATTCAAAAAAACTGAAATCATTACTTAGTAACACTAATATTCTTGAATAATTATTTAGTAACATTAATATTTCTTGAATAAGTAGTTTGACCATAGTTTGATCACAGTTTGACCAGATTTGACCAAATTTCTAAAAAACTGAAATTTCAGCATAACTTTTTTTCCTTTCAGAATTGGAGGATTCTAATTTTTTTTTCAAAACAGCCTACGACCGTTGAAATCGGAACCGGCTTTTCGTTCTGAACATTTTGATATATTGCACTTTTTTTCGACATCGTATGCAAAAGTTATAGTCGTTTTACTTTTTCATAACACTTTTTTTGCAAAACATGCCGAAATTTATGTTTTTAAATTTCCCTAACTAGTAGGATTTTAATTTTTTTCATAACACTTTTTTGCAAAACATAACTACATCTCGAAGGATTTTAATTTTTGAACTTTTTATCTTTTTCTTTTATTTTTTTC